CCCCTCATATCTCTAATGTATCTTGGGCATTATGCATAAGCAGTGTTTTTTATGTACTCTCATACAGAAGTGTTCAGTGAATATGGGGATGAAGTACTAGGTCTCCCATAAGCAGACCAGTTTAACATTTCCCTTATAAATGACTTCCAGAGACATAGAACCATAGCTTTTCAAATTCATTCTTCAATGCAAACTTCACGCCCTTAACCATCATATCTCGTCTTTAGAATGGAGCCAGTTTCTTACAACATTATGTACTGTGTCTTGATATTTTGGTATAAAGGAACTTCGTGAAAACTATACACATATCTACACCCTTTTAATATTGTGACATGTTGCGCAAAGGAGAACCACCCCCCACCAGCAGTGACGCGGCAGGTGAGTCAGTGCTCCCCTCCCCCTCCTCTGCACGGTAACGTAGTTCTCTCGTACTAGGCGAGTCATCACCCCTCCCCCCCCTCCACGGTGATGTAACGCGCCATGCTACGTACCCGTAATCAACTTCCTACTGTGACGCACTCATTACGCAACAGGTAAGCACCGCAGCTATATAAGTGAGCTGCACAGCAGCTACCAAGAGTTCTACTGTAGCAGCCGCCTAACACAGTTGTACGGTGACAGCCGCCGAGTTCTACTGTAGCAGCCGCTTAACACAGTTGTACTGTGACAGTCAGCCAGTCAGTGCGTTACCAACGAGTTCTCAGTTCGCAAGTTACGAGCTACAGACGCGTGTGCAATAACCAGTGATCACCAGTTATATTCGGAGTGTGTAAGTCAGGGAGACTTGTATAGCTCCCGCGTTATTAATACGTGAAGACTCTTGAAGAGAGTGTTAAGAGATTTTGTTCTAGGGTTTGTAAAGTGTGGAAACCCATAACATTGTTATAATTAATTGTAGCCGTTATTTGTAGATCGTTAAATAAACCAATTAACCATCTCTACGGCGTCTTCAGTAACGAAACACGTTACAATATTTTTAAACTGCAAACCAGTGAAATTGTTTTGCCCTCTGCTGTGGAGTTGATGACATTTTGTGATTTCTGTGACATGACCTCTACTTGCCATGCCCTGCAGTAACATATCTGTTCATACACATTCAGGGTTCCTTCATGCATATAGAAACTGTGGGAAATAGTGTGTGTGGAGTGATGAAATAATGGCTTTTTACTTTTAATGTTATATTTTAGCATCCTGTTGCACTGATTTATGTCCATGATTTATTCTGACCGTCTTACAGTGCATACATTTATTCACCTTACTCTTCTCTCATGCACTACATGTTTCGGCACTAAAGTGTCATCTTCAGGTGCTTTTCGATGTACGTCGAACTACTGCATTGCATGCCCTGTTGTCTTTATACTAAAATAACTAAAATATATATTCGTCATATATATTGCTAAATTTTAAATATTAAAAATGTTAAAACTGTTCAGAATTTGTCATCCTTATGTCGTATTTCAGTACATGAGTCACACCTGTCTTCTTCTGTCGGAGTATTCTTCCTACTTTCATGTGTATTGTGCTTTGTGTTGTGTCTTACTCCTGTGACTGCATATGTTATACTGCTTTTATACTTTTATATCATTTCAAATGGATCTCATATATAGTACAGTGAAATACCATCATAGGTCACGTCTCTTTCTCTGCATGTTTCATTTTTCAAACCTCTGGATCAATTTAAATTAAATTTAATATTGAAGATATGCAATGTTGCCAGTATTTCATTTTAGTTCATACCAATATATCTACCTCACCATACAAAGTGGCATAAATTAATATTATGTTGTATTGCAAAATAAAATTGAAAAGAAATCAACTCGGATAAAAGTTTCAGATATTAATGAAACTTATGTTTATGTCATTTATTTTTGTGTGATATGAGTTCTCTCTCCCCATGTTTTCCTTCATAAATTTCATGAAGTTATATCTGAATGTGGGGAACTCCATTGAGTACTGCATATTATTTTCCTTTGGTGTTAGTTTGCCAATCCTTTATGCACAGAAATCTTTTCCCTCACCCTTTATTTGTCAGCATGTATGCATTGTTGTCTTTGCACAATTGAAACAATAATATTCACAGTTAGGCATGAATGAGTAACATCAGCAAGACAGTAATGCTGAATAATTTTTATTACTTGTTGTTTCTGCAGAGAATGCATTTCACTACTAAGGTGCGATGATCTGAGAGTTTTCAGCACAGTCTTCAGCTGCAAGCATCCAACACTTCCACCTGGTGGGCTGAATGATCTGTAAGCTCTCAGTGTTTTGCACTTAGGTAGTTAATAATACACCCCATAGCAGCACCGAACCCGTCATGTTTGGAATAATGAATGAATGAATGCATAAGGTATGAGCCTTAATAATCTGGCCCTTGCACCGCAACCTTCAATGATCTATATGTGTGGAATAATCTATGTGCTGTATTTGACTTGCATGTGAAGATGTGCCAGCATGAGCAGGGAAAATGCTTCTTTGTCACACATTGTCATCTACTGTAGTTTATTCTATAACATTCATGGAAACATAATAACCTCACCTCAAAAGTTGGACATCCAGGTACTTTTGTAAAATTGATTGTGTGCTTAGAATGTATTGGCACAATGACGTTTCTGCTGTGAGTCTCTGTTATATAATTTTGTCATTACATTCAGACATGCTAGCAAGCAATTTGCCTGAAGTGGTAATGTGTCTGACTTGTATTCATGAGTTGCCTGATTCAAACTTCCCTGAGGCTTCGATTAATGCCCCCTTCCATATAAATGCTGGAATAGTAACTTGAAGTAGCATGACTGATTTTCCCCAATTCTTTCAAGTTAATCAAAAAGGATTATCCTTTTATATTACTTAATGCTCAATAACCTCTGCAGTTGATACAGCATAATTAGATAACCTGTGATCCATCAGTGTGCAGACATGCTTCATTTTATATCATTTACAGATGTGAGTTTTAAATAAAGGTGTTGATAATAAATGCAGTACATCAGCTATTCATAGACTTCAAGAAAGCCTATGATTCAATTAGGAGGGAAGTGTTGTGCAATATTCCAATACAGTTTGGGATACCCATGAAACTAGTTAGGTTGATTAAAATGTGTTTAAACGAAACGTGTAGTAAAGTCCGAATAGGTAAACATTTGTCTGATAAATTTCATATCCAGAATGGTCTAAAACAAGGAGATGCTTTATCGCCATTCCTTTTCAATTTTGCTTTAGAATATGCCATTAAGAAGATCCAAGGAAACCGGGTGGGACTGAAATTAAACAGGACACATCAGCTGCTGGCCTATGCTGATGATGTGAATCTATTTGGTAATAATGTAGATACCATAAAGAAAAACACACAAATGTTAATTGACGCAAGTAAATAGGTTGGTCTAGAAGTAAGCACAGAGAAAACTAAGTATATGTTGCTGTCTCATCACCAAAATGCAGGGCAAAATCAGGACATAAAGATAGGAAACAGATGTTTTGAAAATGGGGCACAGTTCAGATACTTGGGAACAACGATAACAGATTGAAACCTGATTCAGGAGGAAATTAAGAGGAGATTGAACTTGGGTGTAATGCTTGCTACCATTCAGTCCAGAACCTTTTGTCTTCTTGTCCGCTGTCCAAAAACATAACAATTAAAATATACAAAACTATAATTTTGCCTGTGATTTTGTATGGGTGTGAAACTTGGTCTCTGACATTAAGGGAGGAACATAGACTGAGGGTGTTTGAGAACAGAGTTTTGAGGAGAATATTTGGACTGAAGAGAGATGAAGTGACAGGAGGTTGGAGAAAATTGCACAATGAAGAGCTTCATAACTTGTACTCTTCTCCAAGTATAATTAGAATGATCAAGTCAAGGAGGATGTGGTGGGCAGGGCATGTAACACGACTGGGGGAGACAAACGTATATAGGATATTGGTGGGGAAAGCCAGAATGAAAGAGACCACTGTGAAGACCAAGGCGTAGGTGGGTGAACAATATTAAAATAGATCTTAGAGATATGGGATGGTATGGATTGGATTGATTTGGCTCAGGATAGGGACAGTGGATGACTCTTGTGAACACGGTATTGAACCAATATTAGAGTTAATTTTACTGACCACACAGCACGTTTTTATTATTGTCACACTACATGTTTCAACCTCAAGAGGTCATCCTCAGGTGTACAAACACAGTTGCACAATCACACGCAATCACATTCATTTTTCCACTTATTTCGATCCTGTATCCTGTTCAGGTCCATGCTCAATAATATATGTTAAGTTCTTGTTATAAAGTACAAGTTAAAAATACAAATGTTAAAAGTTAAAATTTAAAATTAAAATTAATTCGCTTTAACTAGTTATATTATTACCACTTGGTTAAAAAGTTCATGAATTAAATTTCATGATGGCTACTGATTGTCTTGTTTGTTCGGTTGGTTCCTGTAGGGTATTAGTGGTGAGAGGGGGGGGTTTGCAGGTAGGGGTGGTATTCTGAGAAGATAAGTAGGCGGTTTTGGGATATATTATATTTCTTGCATTTGATTTGCTTTTATTAGGATATCATAAATTGGGTTGTAAGTATCAGTTAAAGCTTCATTCATTTGTAGATTTTGCTTAGTTAATTCATATATGTGGAAGCTTTCTAGTGTGTTCAACATCTCTCCTTTCTTTTCTATGTGGAGTATTTCCATTGCTTTGTCTATGGTGTGATAATTATGCGTTGTGTCCAATATATGTTGGGCGAATTTTGATTTCTGCCCATTCGTTTTTATTTCCCTGATGTGTTCTTTGTATCTTGTTCTGAAGTTATGTCCTGTTTGGCCGACATATTTTAGGTCACAATCTTTACACATCATCTGGTATACTCCACAAAGGTTGTATTTATCTGTCGTTTCATGTTTTGTTCTTAGAAGCTTTTTTATTGTATTATTTATTTTGAAAGCTATTTTTATGTTGGTATTTCAAAATAGATTAGCGATTCTTCTAATGCTGGGGCCGAAGTATGTAAATTTGGTCCATTTGTCCTTCTGTGGTGTTGTTATTAGGTGGTTTCATATTATGATCTCTCGCATATCGTGAGTATTCATTATTTACACGTATACGAGTCATAATACCTTCTTCCTTTATTTTTCCTTCGTTGGTGAGCTTATATGTATTTATTCGATTGCGAAGGTGGTTGATAGCTGCCTTTTTATGTTCGTATGGATGACATGAAGTATTATGCAGTATGAGGTCGGTAGCTGTAGGTTTCCTGTATATTTCAAATTTTAGTTCGTTGTTATTTGTTATGATTGTTAGGTCCAAATAATTTAGTTTATTTTGAGACTGTTGTTCCATTTTGAACTTAAGTTTGTGATGCATTGTATTAAATTCATTAATACCAGATTTTCAATATTCATTGTATTTCTTTAAAATGTGTTATTATTTTTGCCATATAATCGTTTCCATCACTGAACTAGAATATGAAAAGATTTCAGATTTTCAGTATTCATTATATTTCTGTAAGCTGTGTTATTATTTTTGCCATATTATTCTGCCCTGTACCTAACTGGTGAAGGTGAATATATCATATTTTCATGTATCATTAAATGTAGTCTTAATCTTGTTGACAAGGATGTAGTTCACATTCTCGAGTTCCGTCATTCTAATGAAATTAATAATAAATGGGTACCTGAGTATTTTTGCTTACTGTGCATGATTTCTAATACTTAAACATAACCAAAAAAATATGTTCTGTGCGGCTTTCAAGTTAAGTTTTGAGCAGCTAACGAGGTATATAAGTGTGTCTGATGAAAATAGAATTTTCTTTCAAATTTCCCCATCTTTAGCTTTCCTAAATACATGTATTCCATGTATGTTACAGCTCACAGTGTCCAGTGCATTTGGATAAAGAGGTGTGTGATGTGAAGGAAAGGTTATTACTTTCCAGGCACTGGTGAGAAAAATAATTTGCAACCTGATATATACTGCAGATGGTCCTACTACATTTTTTTTAGGGGGAACCAAGATTAACATCCCTTCACTCATATCCCTCTTCAAAAGATATGGGTGAAGTGATAATGAACTGAGTTAAAAAAGGGGGCTGTAAGAACCTCTGCAGTGCAAGAGATCTGGTTGCAAAATTATTGATTGTTATTCTTCCAAAAAAGGGCTACTGGGAAGGGGGGAGCGAGAAGCACCCAAAAGGAGATATGTTAGCATACTTTCTTATTGTTTGTGCTATCGGATCTGGCGGCCATTTTGTATTTTGTTAGGGGTTAATGCATAGAGATTGCAGCAGCATTGCATCGTGGTGTCATGGCGGCCATGTTGCTAACCAAAAACATGAGAGTTTCACTTCTTAACAGAGGGCAGGAGGAAATAGAATGGCAGAGAAGGCAGAGAATGATAGTGGTTGTAATGACGTAATGACTTTCTAGGAACGTCGTGAAGGTTTGAGCGGTTTGAGGTTGTGTTGAAGAAGTTATATGTCAAATGAAAGTAGGGATTAAAAGTAATTTTTGTGTTTCAGACGATATCTTAGAAAACCAAATGTAACTTAAGCGAGTGACCAGTTTGGTGAGTTTGTTTTGTTTGTTTTTCGTTTGATTCGTGTTGTTGGTGGGCTAAGGAAGTCTTTTGTTTGAAAGTTTAGTTTTGTTTATAACATGGATATTTTTAATGCGGTGTGTATATTATGCAGTGTGAGCGTGAGGAAGTACCACAGTACGCAGGGTTGTGTTGGGTGGCAGCTGCCAGGTGTGAAAGTTCCTTAGGAAATGGCTCTGGCGAAGCATGGGACGTAGTTCGTGTGGGAAGACAATTTTTGACAGCAGAAATTAGTGCGAAAGACCTAGGTTGTCCAAGTCCTGGAGGTGAACATGTGCAGGTAATATGAATATGTTTTGCATCAGAAATATTTCCTGTTTACTTGAAATAAAAGTAAGGCTAGGATCGACTCCCTCAGGTCAGTGTTGAATTCTATATGATATGTTAACTCAATGAGGAATGAATTAGTGATAAATGTTGAAGTCAACCCTTGATATAGTGCAGGTTTCAGGGGACAGCTTAAATAGCCCAATTGTATGTTAAACTGCTGTTTATCTGATTTTGGAATCCCTGATATGTATATTTGGCCCATGACAAAAATATGTGAAATTTAAGGTATGTTTCACCAATGCTGCTGGCTCAGACCAGTAGATTACTTACATTTATACCTTAGAAAAGTCATATTAGAGTAAACAGAATCATACTTTTTCATAGCAAATTATGGATCTTACCCTCTGTACCCACACACTATAGCAAGGAATAGTGTACTCTCATAATATAATCAGAACAATTCATAGAAGTGTGGATGATGTAAAATATATGTAGTCATATTGGAGGACATCATCACCACTGCAATATACCTGAAGGTGAAGTTATCACTCTGCTTAACTAAATAAGCACTATGCTATTAAGGTGTATGGGGAAGTGGATGTACAGATCCATATTTTCTTGACCCCAGCACTATTTGGAGGTGAGTTTTCAGCTTCATGCTCTGCCCGCTGTATGCCTGGGGATCCGAGACACCTTGTCCCATGATATTCCTGTTGTGTGTCATCTTCCTCTTCATTTTGACTGTTATAACAGTGCAGTTGAAGTCTGTTATCTCTGTGAATATAAATCTTCCTTCTTCCCCCTACGTTACACATATTTATGTATATGCAGTAGAGTAATAGAATTATAAATTTTTGTGCTAAAATAATCAAATATAACAGTCACATTAATAACAATGATCAGCTTTGGTAATTGTCAAATATCTTTTGTGTAATAGCTAGTTAGAAATTTATTTTGGTATATTTAGAAGTAAGATAAATATAGTGAAGAATTATGCTACAAGCTGAAACTTTGCAGGTTAGATTGCTGATGAGGTCATAGGATTTTTCAGTTGACCTAATCAACTCAGTCTCTAATAGAAATGAGTACCAGGAATTGTCCTGTTGAAAAAGGGTGGTCAGTACGTAAGGCTGACAGCCTCATCGCCATCTGTGGGCCAGCTGTCTAGAAAATGTGGGAGTCTTGACACCTCACAACCTGATGGGCCTCCTTGGCCTGTTACAGGGATAGCTTTACCTTTAAAGACATAATTTTCTATTTAGTGGCAATAGCTCAGTAAGTACAGCCATGGGCTATGGACTGGATTGCTACCATTTGATTCCCTGCAGGGTTGAGATTTTTTTATCTCTTCAGGGTCCAGACTAGGTCTGGGGCCCACCCAGCCTCGTATTCGGTGGGTACCAGAGTCTCTTTCCCTGGGGGCTAAGTGGCCTCCATCTTGTGCTCAGATCAAGTATGTGGAACTATACATCCACTCTGTCACAGGTCCGCATGTCATAATGCTTAATTAACCGAGCACTTGGATGCTTCCATTATTGCCTGTTCTTTTTTGCCATGGAAACATGTCCCCAAAGGTGTACCCTATCAACAGCTGTTGTACTGTTGACTGTTTACACACCTCTTATTTTACAGTGGGTCTATATGCCACATTATATGTGTGTGTTGTGACATGCCAACTAAAAGCTACGAGGGTCATACTGAAAGACATGAGCAACAGTTTTTTTTGTAAAGTATCATGCTTTATTATTAATAAACCAAATACAACATCCTCAATCTACAGACCTTTCTTTAATTTTCCACATAATCGCCACTTCTTTGTACACATTTCTCCCAGCGTTCTGGGAGTTTGAAAATTCCCCTTCTGTAAAATTCCGTTCCAGCCATCCGAAGACACTGATGCACTGCTTTCTGAATTGCCTCCCTTGTCTCAAAACGTTGTCCATGCAGCTGATCCTTCACAAATCCAAAAAGATGGTAGTCAGATGGTGCTAGATCAGGGCTATAGGAGGGGTGTGGAAGAATTTCCCACCGCATCTTTGCATTTGCTTCCAATGTGAGGCGAGCGTTGTCATGCAGGATGATGATGTTTTGTCCCGGACGTTTATCGCGCAATGCATGACGGAGCTTGTGCTGTGTCTGGACATAACGAGCAGCATTGATGGTTTGCCCAGGAATTCGGCCAGAATAAACCCCTCTGCATCCCAGAAGACTGTGCCCATCACCTTCACAGCTGACGGCACTGTCTTTGCCTTCTTTTTTGATGGAGAATGCAAATGGTGCCATTCCATTGCAGGCTCAAAATGGTGAAACCAGCTTTTGTCACTTGTCACAATACAGAGAAGAAATCATCGCCTTCATGTCGATATCTCTGCAGCAGTTCTGAGGTGATGGCTTTTTGCTAACTTTTGTGGTCTTCGGTCAATAACAGTGGGACCCAATGAGCACAAACTTTCCTATAGCCCAAGCTTTCAATCATCTCCTGTACTGCACTCTGCCCTATTCCAAGTTTTCGGGCTATTGTGTCTACAGTCACATGCCTGTCATCTTGAATGATCTCATCCACTCTTTCCTTGTTGCGTTCAGTTGAGGCTGTTCGAGGGCGACCGCTCCAAGGCTCATCTTCAATGTTCCCATCTTTAAAATGTTTCACCCATCTTCGAACACTGCTCGCACCCATGCACACACTTCCATAAGCACACTGAAGTCTCTGGTGAATTTCTGCTGCAGGGATTTCCTCTTTCACAAGAAATTCGATGACAGCATGCTGGCGAAACGACATATCGTTGTCGGCCATTTTGTTAGGAGTGATACTGGTCACGTGATGCAAGCTGTTAACGTCACAAGACACTCAAGGTTAACACAACAGCTGCTTCCACCTACCACCATACTCTCTTTCGTCTGCTGTTCCCAGGTTGCATGAAAAAAGAAGTTGCTCATGACTTCTGGTACAACCTACGTAGAGTATCTGAGTCAAAGCAGATGCCCACTGTTAGGCAATGCCTAGGTATCCACGGTTCTCTAGCGTTGTCGGGGTGACAATGAAACAGGTTGAAGCAATAACACATATGTAAGAGTTGTTACCACGCAAGTGAAAACCCAAAACTGGTGAAGTTCCCACAGCAACATATACACTAGCTAACTAGTGAAGTTCCTGCTGCAATGGATACACTAGCTAACACGTGGAACGGGATCCTTGAACAAGATGTCTTCTAGGCTGTCCAACTGTCAGTTATAATAGACCAAGAGAGGTCAGAATTGAGATCAGAGAGAGGTGAGAGCAGAGAACAGTGGAACAATGAGCAGACCAAAGGAAAGACCAGATCAGAGGTCAGTTCAGGGACAGTGGACTAGTCAGGTCGCATCATCTGGAAGACGTTATTTTGGAGTGATTTTAGTTCAGACTGTAAACAAGTTATCCAATAAAACAGCTTTATGTAATGCAGAATCCACAATTATTTGTCACCAAACCCCAAACACATTACAAAACATATATAATTTCCTCTTTTCTGATTGAATTCTATGTCTGGATACTGGTTGCACCACATTTTCCATAATCTTGATCCATAGCTCACCGATTTCATTAGAGTATATCCGTTATATGGTCAGGTATGACACTTTTGTACAATTTTGTTCAGTCAGAATATTTATTGAGGACTACTTACTATCTTCATTGTCACTGCTATAAGAACTGCAAAATAAATACGTAGGTAGGCTGAAAAGTAATGCACACATGCTTGTAGAGCGCGAACGAAATGACCTTCAGAAGCGCGCCAGGTGGCATGTGGAAGTAACATTCCCCCTCAATACGCATGCGCAGGTTTGAGGTCGTTGCGTTCATCCAGTGTATTTTGAGAGGCGGAAGTATGGAGACGTGTTCTAGTGCTATGTCAACGTGAGTTAAACAGCGTGCTGTTATCAAATTTTTAACTGCTGAAAAAGTGACTCCTACTGAGATTCATCGTCGTTTAAAGGCTGTTTATGGTGACAATGCTGTTGATAGGTCTACTGTAAATCGATGGGTAATAAAATTTCGTGGTTGCGAGCCTGGAAAAGCCATAATTGTTGATGAAACACGCAGCGGACGTCCGATCACTGCCACAGACGATAATCATCGCAAACTCGTCAATGATTTGATTCAAAATGACCGGCGAATCACTCAAAAGCATATCGCAAACCATATTGGAATATCCAAGGAACGTGTCGGCTTCATTATTGAACAATTGGGATACCGTAAAATCTGTGCATGATGGGTACCACGTCATCTCACAGACGAGAACAAACAGCGTTGATTGGAATGCTGCGAGCAACTTTTGCAGCGCTACCATGACGTAGGAGATGACTTACTTTTGAATATTGTGATGGGGGACAAGTCATGGGTCCATCATTACGACCCGGAAAAGAAAAGACAGAGCGCTGATTATCGACATCCGTCTTCTCCTCAGGCGAAAAAGTTCAAAACACAACCATCCGCCAAAAAACTTCTTTTGACTGTGTTTTGGGATGCTCACCGAGTTTATATGATCAATTTTCTGGAACGAGGGGCAACAGTAAATTCTTCTCAGTACATACAGACTCTAAAACACCTCCGGCGTCGAGTTTGTCGTGTTAGATACAGCCTGGCGCCAATAACCTTGCAACATGACAACACTTGTCCACACACCTTGCCCGCAACTGAAGAGGCTCTGCAAAACCTGAAGTTTGAACCGATTCCACACCCTCCTTATTCCCCCAATCTTGCGCCTTGCGGTTTTTATTTTTTTCCTCTACTCAAGAGAGACCTCAAGGGTAATCATTACACCTCGGACGATGAGGTGAAGGCAGCTGTCAAGTCCTGGATTCGAGAAAAGTCAGAAGAATTTTTCAGTGACGGAATGAAAAAACTTGTTACATGTTGGGAGAAATGTGTTAGCCTTAATGGTGACTATGTTGAAAAATAAATATATGCTTTTGAAACTTAAGAATTGTACTTTAATGTACTTTTAATGTATTTGTTTTTGTTCGCGCTCTACA